CACCAAGTTTTTTCCCCCCCCCCCCCCCGCCCGCTTCCCGCCCTTTGGTCCCCGCGCCCGCTGACACACCGCTTGCCTGTGTTTTATTTTTTTTTCTCAATTGGCTGCCCTCGACAGACAGCGCTGGCCGCCCAACCCCTGCACTGCCCTTTCCCTCAGTCCGTGCTGCTCACACCAACTAGCTACGCTGGTAAGTCAACCGGCCTTGCCACCGCCACAGCGGCTGCCCCTCTGCCGCCTTGCCTTGCCTTGTTCCAGGCTTTGGGCTGCCCCGCTCTGCTTGCTCTGCCTCGCCTCACCTGCCCTTCCTCCTCCTCGACGCTGATGCACAAATTGGTTGATCACACAGCCATCCGTCAGTTTTAAATTTTAGATACCAACAGACCGCAGTCATGGATACCCAGGTGAGCCAGCCATCGTTGCCGCATGTGTGCGCAAAGCCAAAGTCACTCGCCCCAAGGTTCTCATCCTTCCTTTCACGCGGCAATCATCTCATTCATGCCGTGCGCTCTCCCTCAATAGTTTGCCTCACTGCACCAACACACGGCCGAGAATGGTCTCGCCGCCATGCCCGCCAAGACCTTTGGTCAGGCTCAGCACGTCAAGCGCGCTCCCCTCGGAGACATTGGCAACAATGCCGCCGCCCTAGGCCTCAACCAGGCCAAGAAGGTCAAGTCACAGGAGCGCGCCGGACCCATGACCCGTGCCGCCGCCCGCAATGCCAGCTCTGAGCCCATGCCGGCCGATGACCAGGCCATGGAGACACAGGATGAAACCATGCACGACATTCGCATGCCCACGCTGGACGGTCCTGCCCCCGCTTTGGCTTTGCCTGCCGGTGTCGAGAACATTGACGAGGAGGACACGGAGAACCCCCAGATGGCGACCGAGTATGTCGCCGACATTTACAACTACATGCGTGAAATGGAGGTCCGCCTCTGCTGTGACCCAGCCTACCTTCAATCCCAGCCCGAGGTCAACGAGCGCATGCGCGCCATCCTTATCGACTGGCTCGTCGAGGTGCACTACCGCTTTGAGCTGCTGCAGGAGACCCTCTACCTGACCGTTGACGTCCTTGATCGCTTCCTCTCCAGCGAGCGAACCTCCCGTAGCCAGCTCCAACTTGTCGGCGTGACCGCCATGCTCATTGCCTCAAAGTACGAGGAGATGTACCCGCCTGAGGTTGGAGACTTTGTCTACATTTCCGACAACGCCTACCGCCGCGAACAGATCCTCGCCATGGAGCAGACGATGCTTCGCGTCCTGGATTTCAACCTGGGCAAGCCTCTGCCCCTGCACTTCCTCCGCCGTGACTCACGCGCCGGTCACGCCGATGGCACCATGCACACCTTTGCCAAGTACTTTATGGAGCTGACCCTCTGCTCGCCCCGCTTCCTCGGCTACAAGCCCTCCCAGGTTGCTGCTGCTGCCACCTACATCTCCCGTGAGGTTGTGGGCGAGCAACAGCTGTGGACTCCTACCATTGAGTTCTTTGCCGACTACACCCTGACGGACATTATGCCCGTCATCCTGGACATGAAGGCCATTCTTCGCGAGAGCCCCACTGCCAAGCAGCAGGCTGTTCGCACCAAGTTCTCCCGCTCCAAGTACATGCGCATCAGCCGTGAGCCCATGCTCGAGAAGTACATTAGCGAGCTCTAAGCACGACTCGCCCTCTGCTACTTCCATCGACGACAACACCAACCTTGATTGAACCCAACCTTCTTTTCTCGGTTATGCCGGCTCATGTTGCTCTGCTGCAAGGCCGTCAAAAAAAAAAAGTGCCGTGCGCTTACTATTTTCCCCCTCCATACCAAGCCAACGCCAGGCTAGGGCTATTGTCGCTCTATGAGCAGACACATCCAAGTTGTTGCATATTAGCAGCTCCTATGACCTTTTGCCCCACCCCGTAGTTGTTCCGACTTTTATTTCTCCTTTTTTTTTTCTTTGTTCCTTGTTTCGCTTCCTTTATCTGGATGTGGTCCGGTGACACCAGACCCCTCACGTGCCGTGCATTGTCCAAAGTATCTCCTTTTCTTTTTGTTTCCCCGTCCCCCTTGAAGAGAACAGACAGATGTTGCTTAATCGAACTCGACCCAAAACAACCGATCCCTCGGCTTGACACTGCCAAGAGAAGAAGATAAGCCTACCTCAACCAAGAAAAATACCACACACACACACCTACCAGACAAGTGTCATTCATTCATTTTTTTCTTTTTTCTCTTCCTCTTTTGAGGATGAGGCCGTTCTTGTCGCCCGTGCATGTGGGCGTCGTGCTCTTGAGCTTGCTGCTGAACTTGAGCCAGCTCGTGGCTGATGGGACTGGGTTGACGCTGGCTGTGGGGGAGGATGATCCGGCGTCCTTGCACCTGGATGCCGCTGGGGCGCCCGTGTTGCTGGAGGGTCGGGACTTGCACGAAGTGCTGTCTGTGATTGAGCGCAACCCACAGCTGGGCTGGGACGCCCAGACGCACTACGTCACAAGAGACTTTGAGAACACTGCAGCACTACGCCTGGCTGACTTGGATCGTGACGGCCACCTGGACGTCGTGGCTGCCAGCTACTCACAGAACGTGCTCGTCTGGTATCGCAACCAAGCCGACGGTACCTTTGCGTCGGCCATCACGATTGCGCCACTCCAAAACTGTCGCTCACTTTGGACCGGCGATGTTGATGCCGATGGTGTCGTCGATGTGCTTGCCACCAGTCTGGCGGTCAACAAAATCTACTGCTTTTTCTCTGTCGGCTACAACGCGTCACCCGCGTCTGTTGAAATCGACTTGCAGGGTGCCCGGGCTGTCCTAGCAGCTGACCTCGATAACGACCAGCGCCTCGATATTGTCTGCGCCAGCGTCGCCAACAAGGTATTATGGTACCGAAATCTTGGCAATCGAACGTTTGGAGCAGCCCAAGTTGTTGACACCAGCGTCACTAATCCATACGCCATCGCCGTTGCTGATCTCAACGGCGACGGCCTGCTGGACGTGCTGAGCACCAGCACCGCTGATAACAGCATCACGTGGCACCGTGCCATGCTCGATCAGACTGGTACCCGCTGGTTTTCGAGCACTCCGCTCGCCACCGTGGTAAAACCTTACACTGTACACGCTGCTGATCTTGATGGCGACACGCACCCAGACGTTCTCAGTGCTAATGGAGAGGCTGGCCACATCTTCTGGTTTCGTAACAACGGCACCGGCCACTTCTCCGCGCCGCTTCCCATCACCTCAGAGGCCGAGGGCACCTTTTTCTTAACGACCGCTGATCTGGATAACGACGGCGATCTTGACGTGCTCAGCGCTAGCCAAGAAGACAACAAGGTTGCTTGGTATCGCAATCACGGGGCCGGACGCTTTTCCGATCAAGTCATCATATCTGATGATTTAAATGAGCCGCTCGTCGTTGCTGTTGGTGATGTGAATCGTGACGGTACTCCAGATGCAGTCAGCGGTGGCAAACATAACCGAGGCATTGCCTGGTACCGAAACCTCAATGGCACGGCCGTCGTCACCGCTGCTACCACGGTGGCCTCACCGCCGTCCCTGACGGCTGACGCTTCGGGCCATCTCCACCTCAATGCCTCAAACCTTGTCTTTCTGGACGGCCAAGACATGACCCGAAGCCTTGCTCTATTGCAGTTTCACCTTGACTTGGCTTGGAAGACATCAGAACGCGTTCTGGACAACAATATCAAGGGCACCTATTCGGTCGTGGCGGTTGACGTCAACGGCGATGCTCACCTTGACGTAGTAGCGGCCAGCGCAAAGAACGACGAAATTGTTTGGTATCGCAACCTGGGCAACGCCACCTTCACCTCCAAGCGCACCGTAGCCAATGAGGTGAGACAACCTTATAACGTGGTCGCCGCGGACCTCGACGGGGACCTTGCTCCCGATGTGATTAGCGCTGCCCTCGGCGACAATCGGGTCTTGTGGCATCGCAACCAGGGCCATGGAAGCTTTGCCAGCCCAATCCCCATCGATGACAATGCCCCAGGTGTTCAATGTGTACACGTCGTGGATGTCGATGGGGATCATGACCTTGATGTCATCGCAGCGGTCACCAATAGCAACCGCGTTCGCCTCTACAAAAACGTGGGCAACGGCACCTTCACGACCGACATAGTTGGCAACGCCAACGTCAATGGCGTGCGGTGGGTCACCGCGGCAGATCTGGATGGTGACCACCTGCCGGACATTCTAGCAGCCGCCTACACCGGTGACAAAATTGTCTGGTATCGCAACCTTGGCGCTGCCCTATTTGATCCCGAAGCACTCATTGCCGCGGACGTGGATGGACCCAGCTGCCTGACGACGGGGGATTTGGATTTGGATGGCCGTGTAGACGTCGTTGTGACCCTCGAAAGCGAGGATCGCATTGTGTGGTTCCGCAACACCGGTACCGGAACCTTTTCGCCGCCACAGCTAGTGGATGACGCTTGTGAGGCCCCTGGCTCCGCGGTGCTTGCCGACCTGGACAATGACGGCGACCTCGATATTCTCGGCGGGGGCCGCACCATGTTCTGGTATCTGAACGATGGTAGTGGTAGCTTTGCTCGTCGGGCTGCGGTTGATGCCGAATCTGGCAATCGCTTTCGCTCTGTTGTTGCAGCGGATTTGGATGCCGACGGTGATCTGGACGTCCTTGCTGCTGATGACGATAACGACGAGGTCAAGTGGTATCGTAATATACAATTGCAGCCTGGAGATGACGCAGTCAGAATGGCTCAGCCAGATCCCGGGCTGCGTGTGACCGATGATGGTTCTTTGATCCTCGAGACCGCCGCACCCGCCTATGTTCGTGGCCTCGACCTGACCTTGGCAGCGCGCATCGTGGCTCACAACCCTCGTCTGTGGTGGACCGATCAGCGTCGACTCGTGACCTACGAAGCCCATGGCGTGTTGGACGTGGTGACTGTGGACCTTGATGGCGATGGTCACATGGACTTGCTGAGCGCAAACTCTGGGGTGCCTGCTGCAAGTTGGTACCGCAACACTGGCCATGGTGTATTTGCTGGGCCCGTGCATCTGACGCAGGCGCTCCAACAGCCGATGTCTGTTGCGGTCCTCGACGTGAACCATACAGGCCGCCTTGATGTACTGGTGGCAGACCGGGCGAGTGATCAAGTTTGGTGGGTCAAAAACTTGGGACAAGGTCGCTTTGGGACCCCAACTTCGCTGTTAAGTGGCATCGGCCAGATTAACTTGGTGCGTGTGGCTGATTTGAACGGCGACAACATGACTGACATCATCTGTGTGGACGACCGAGCCGATGCAATTGTCTGGTTTGCCAACGAGGGTGCTGGCGCGTTTGGCTCACGACGCACTCTTAGCAATGCCGATCAGAGCGATATTCGTGCTCTTGTGCTTGCTGACTTGGATGGGGACGGTGCCGTTGATATTCTGAGTGGCAGCACCTCCGGCTCGGCCACAGTTGTCTTGTATCATAACCTCAACAACTCGGGATCCTTTTCTATGGCGCACGGCATCTCATCTCAGTCCGAAAAGGTGCGATCGTTAGCCGTGGCCGATATCGACGGTGATGGGCGCCAGGATGTGCTGAGCGCCATCCCAGACGATGATGCCGTAGTATGGTACCGGAACCAAGACAACGGCACCTTTGCCGCCTTCCGCGCCATTACCACAGAGGCTGCATACGCCACCTCTGTCGCCACGGCTGACCTCGACGGTGACGGAGACCCCGATGTGCTGAGCGCTAGTGGTGATGACAGAAAAATTGCTTGGTATCAGAACGATGGCCAAGGTAGCTTCTCGGCACAACAAGAGATATCCTTGACCGCAGATGGAGCTCAGCAGGTGACTGCGGCGGACCTGGACAACGACGGAGACCTGGATATAGTCAGTGCTAGTCTGAATGACAATGAAATTGCCTGGTATAACAATGATCTCCCGCACTGGGTATGATGAATAAACGAGACTTTAAAGCACAGCACTTTGCCATTACAATACAGCTTGCTAGAAGATTCTAATTGAACCGATTCTTTTGAAGCTCGATTGATGAGAGGTTGACACATGGTTGCGCACACAAGCAGAGCAGCACAAATTCAGGTAAAACAGGCCAGACAATGAAGTGTCGGGGCAATCCTGTACGTAACGCAACATAGGGCTTAGCATTGCTTGTCATAGCGATCACTTGCGATGGGCCTTGCCCCCGTGCTTCTTCTTGGCACTGCCAGGGCTTTTGCCATTTTTGGACTTTTTGGCCCGCACACCCGCGTCACCTGAAGCACTTTCATCGTGCCCACCTTTGCCTTGGGCCGAAGCAGCTCCAGCAGTCCGCTTCACGCTGACCGTGGAACCACGCTTGCCTTGCACGGCCTTGCGGAATGCGTCGTCATCCATGCTGATAGCATATCGCTCCAAACCAGCAGGACTGCCCACCCAAGACGAAACAAGAACGTGATGAGAGTGACGTGAATGCCTTTTTTCAAACCTCTACAAAAAACCGTGCACCTCACACACTAGTGTTTTGGAATAGGAGTTTCAATAGAGAGAGAGAGAGAGAGAGAGAGAGAGAGAGAGA